TCTTTTAGCATGAGTTTCATATTATTGCAGTTTCTTCATTACACTAATCAGTGCCGGCTCTACAGCTTTGAGAAAAAGGCAACTGCCTTAGGCCCCAAAATTTGAGGGGCCTCATTTTAAAAAAATACAATAGGTTATACATATTTTTTTTAAAAATATCACGTATAATTTGTAGAAAATATAATTTTTTCATAAAAGAGCAAGGAAATAATAGAAGTTTGATAAATTATGAATACTATGTCTCAAGAAAGATTAAATAATTGGCTATAATAAACTTCATAAAAAATATATATTCGAATTTAAGGCCTCCATTCGGATTTTGTTTTAGGCCACCGATTTATTAGAGCCGCCCCTGACACTAATCGTCACTACTTATGTGTTTTGTTCTTAATCAGGGTACAATATTTTATGAAATTTAAGAAGGGTTCAAGTTGTATGTTAGATACTTAATCTGGGCACTATTTCATGAAATTTAAGAAGGGTTCATGTTGTTTTCTTTCTTTTCCTTTCCTTTTGGTATTTATGCACAGAAAGTTGCACTATTTAGAGTACTAGTATTTAGTTGTTAATTGTAAAATTTACCTTGTTCAATTATATTTATCTAAAAAGAATTAGACGACCAACTTTTGAGTTGTTCAAGAACTTGACCTCACCCAAGCATGAGTAATCTACAAAAGTGGGAGATTGTGTATTAGTGTTATACTTATTTGACCTATGCCAATGTAATTTATGGTATGAAAGAGGTGTAAAGAGACTTGTACAAGATTGACCAAATTCTTCACAGTGGTTGTGCTTATTTCTTTAAAATTCTTTATAGCTATTTAATTCCTTGCTGTAAATAAAAAAAATTCCAGTAAAATATTGTTCATGAACTGGTATTATTTTCTTGTAACTATATAATTCTTCTTTATTACTTTCTTAAACCCTGTGCTCAGTTAAAATCAGGCCAATAAATTAAAATGGAGGAAGTATGTTTCTGGTGCTTATTTTAATGAATCAGCTGTATTCTTTTAGCACATTTTGCCTTTCTCATTGATTCAAGTTATGAGGATTCCTTAGGACACTGTACTTTGGATATAGTTTAATTCCTTGAAAGCTAACATGTATGATTCTGATTTGCTTTAGTGAAATGAGCACATGCTGTACATTTTGAAAGTAATTTTTCACTAGTCTCAAATCAGATTGTTGTTTGCAAGTTTTGATGTTCATGGCATCTTTTTCTTTGAATAGTACTATCACCATCAGTTAGCAGGTGCTAGGCAATGTACCTTCGATTATATATTCATTTTTTAGCTTTCCCTGATTGGATAATACCTTTGAATATCTAGCTTATACCAAACTCATGGAAAAGCAAAAGTTGAATCAGGTGCATTCTTTTAGTGTTGCTTGATACACCTAAATGAAGGTAATTGTCTTCATTAAGGTAAATTGATGAATCTGTTATACGAAAAAAGAAGTTGAAGCAGATGCATACATATATCACTCAGTACAAGTAAATGAAGTCTGATGTTAATCAGGTATATAGGAACATCAACATATACAAGACACCTATATAAATTGTAGTAAATATCACGTTCTTCTATTTTTAAGTTGATTGTTTATTTCATCTACTCTGTAGTTGAATGACTATTGTTTACAACAATATGCCTTTTATCTTTAAGAAATAAATTAATGTTAATGGAAAAGAAAATTTTGTTATTTATATGAATATATAATAAGAAATCAGATTTTTTCCTTCTATCTTTTGATTGAGAAAATTATTGTAATACCAAATGTGTTGTTCATCCACGTATAGTGCAACTGTGAGTAAGAAGTTAGTATTCCATTTATGTAAGCATGAATTTTTTATGTTGTTCTCAAATCCCTTTCCTGCTTAATTTCAAATTGATTGAAGTGAATCTTTACTTTCTTTTTCTGTTACAAGGATGGTTCTTCAAGTGATGAAAAATTATTGACAGAGGAGTCTTAAGATATCACATTCTCTTAGTGAGAAGTATTTTGGTTATGTCTTTGTATGAGTAATGGACAATTGCTATATTTTTAGGCAACTAGTACTAAATATATAAATATTAATTTTTTTCAAAATATATTAGTATTTGTGGCGACTTACAGTCGCTACCAAAAGTCAATTTTCCCAATATTGAAAGTTAACTCTATTGTGGCGGGTTAAAGTCGCCCCTAGTAGTGTTTGTGGCGACTGTTGTTGCTGCTATATCCTTTCCATCAGTGGCGACCTTTTTATTGGACACCTTGTCCAATATATTTGTGACGATATAAATAAGATTTTGTGGCTATAAATATCGCCACAAAAGATGTCTTTCTGTGGCGACTCATCTTTGTCGCCACAAATAACCTTTAGTTTCAGTCGTAACGCCAAGGACCCTTTTGTCGCCACTAAATGTAATTTGCAGCAACTTTTGAGGATTTTGAGGTGACTTTAGCTGCCACTAAAAGTGTTATTTCTTGTAGTGCAAGCCTCTGACCATTGAAATTTAACCTTCTTCTAGGTCAACTTAGTCATAAGAGATGCAATGGAAGAAAATCCTTCTACGAATCTTCTATCATATCCGGCCAAACACAAGAAATTCCTAATATCAATTCTTTACAACTTTTATTTTTTGAGAGTCAACTTGGACACCCTCGTTGGATACCATGTGCCCTAAAAATGACACATACCTTAACCAAAATTCACACTTGAAACACTTAAATAACTCGCGATCTTTAAGAGTCTGAATAATATTATAAAATGACTATCATGATCCTCCTCACTTCTGGAGTAGATTAAGATGTTATCAATGAATACAATAATGAACATGTTCAAATAATGCTTAAACACTTTATTCATGAAATCCATAAGTGCTACAGGAGTGTTAGTCAAACCAAAAGACATGATAATAAATTCAAAATCACTTTCTCTAACTTTCAACTTATGATAGCCGAATCTGAGGTTTATCTTAGAGAAACAAGTGGCACTCTGAAGCTTGCCGAACAAGTCATCAATTCTAAGAAGAGGATACTTATCCTTTATGGTACCTTTGTTCAACTGGCGATTGTCGATACATATTTTGAGGAACCATATTTCTTTCACATGAAAAGGAATGGAGCCGCCAAAGGTGAGACACTTGGCGTAATGAAACCCTTATCAAGGAATTATGACTGTATCTTATTATGAAAAGGGCTTTATTATGAAAAGGACTTTATTAAATCACCCAAGCAAAAGTCTAACAAATTATGAGTGTATCTTATTATTTCACTTTTTATTTAAGAAGGAATATATATTTTCATATATTTATTTGAATTTATTAGATTTCTTCTAATATATGAAAATGGCTTCATTTTTGTTTTTGGGACTTGTATAGAAAATTTCACACCTATTTTTGTATCGTTTACGAAAACAATTACTATCGTTCAAGATAAAAACAAATACACTTGAAATATCACATGTATAACATTATACACACATTTTTCTCACTTGTATAAAAAATTCCAGAACTAATTTTGTGTCGTTCAAGAAAATAATTATTACTATTCAAGAAAAACTAAATTCTTCTGATATCTTACATGTATAACGTTGACAACATGTATTTCAAAAACATCACCTAGAATGGAGATTCCTTTATAGATGATCAGTAAGATAGACATGTAGAGGTAGTGTGTCATTGGAAATAGGAAAATAGAGTAAACAATGATAGTAAGAGTAAAAAATGTATTATAATCTTCAAACACCTTAGACATGAGGGAAAAGGGAAATACAGAAAAACAAAGATAACAAATTTTAGAAATAGATAAGTATAAATTCATGTGAGATTGTTACGACCCAAAATTTCAGGTTGTAATTTCACCTACCAAAACTCCTTGGTAGCTATGTCAAGCATCCACCAAACACAACAACACGAAAAAAAATGCAAAAAAATTAAAGCAATGTAGTAGATATCTAACTTTCATTATCAAACACATAAAATGTGGACAATGATGTCTTCTTTATGGTATTATTTAAGAAGTTTATGTAATGTTGGTAGATCATGACAAAAAGTTTGTTACTGAGATTATTGAATTGTTAGAGTCATATGAATATAGAAGTGATATCTCTTAAAAGAATATAGAGAACTTATAATCCTCAAACAAGAAAAATCATTTTAAAGAAAATTAGATAAAATTTAGTTCAATCAAATAATATTTATTTAGAGACATCACCTTTATATTCATAAGACTCTAGCAACTCAATCACCTTAGTAAAAAACTCTTTGTCATGATTTACCAGCATCACACAAACTTCTTAAACACACCTCAATAATTCATCTTCAAAGAATATATTCTCTGTTTGTATATGGATGAAAAACTTATGTTTAAAATTGACAAGTGGTGTAGTATTGACCAACTCAATATAAAGAGGAATATGCAAATATATCAAAAAGTTCTTTAGCATTTGTAAGAGTTCTTCCAATATTAGAAGAGGGCTATACTTTTATTTTTTGGGACTTGTACAAAAAAAAATTCACACCTATTTTTGTGCCGTCCACAAATATAATTATTACCATCAAGGATAAAAACAAATTCGTGTGAAATATCGCATGTACAACATTTAGAATACCTTGTTTTTTTCATTTTTATAAAAAATTTCACACCTACTTTTTTGTCGTTTAAAAATACAATTATTACGGTTTAAGATATAAGCAAATTCATGTGAAATATCATATGTATAACATTCAAAATACATTTTTCTGCATTCCTATAAAAAATTCCCGTCCCTAGTTATATGTCATTAATGAAAATAATTATAACTATTCAAGAATAAACAAAATTATGAGATGTCTCACATGTATAACGTTCATCATATGTATTCTAAGAGCATCATTTCGAATAAGACAATTTTTAAAAAAAAAAGATATTCCCTTCGTTAATATTACTAACACAAATATGTAGAGATAGTATGTCAATAGAAACATAGAAATGGAGAAAACAATGATAGCATATTATGCTCAAACTTCATTATTTTTCACTTAGTATCTCCTCACAACCCTGAAACAAATAAAAAAGAACAAGAAGTGAAGAAAAAAAAGAATTTAAAAATACTTGGGTTGTCTCTCAAAAAGCACTTGATTTAACATTGCAGTGTGATGTACATACCTCATTTTTCTACCAATGTCTGGGGGTACAACTTCCTCACATGAACCTTCAACCAACTTGTTCATGGATTCAATTACTGACACCATCCTACACTTATCTTGTGGTTTTATCAGTTTGCACACATCAAATGTCACTTCATCATTCCCAACTCTAAACTTGAGTTCTCCTAGATCTACATCTATAAAAGCACGCTCAGTGACAAGGAACGATTGGTCTAATATTATAGGCACCTCAATATCGACATCACAATCCAACACAACAAATTCAGTCGAGAGAATGATGGATTTGTTGACTTTGACCAAGATGTTAAAGAGAATCCCCACCAACTTTATAAAGAGGTCAACCATTAGAAACCTCATTGAAGTGGGTTTAGGAGTTACAAGACATAACTTCTTGAAAATCACAAGGGGCATCAAGTTCATACTTGCCCCGTGGTCACACAATGCTTTGTTAAATAAGTACATCCTAATGGTGCACGAAACTGTAAAAACTCCTAGAACCTCTCGCTTTGGAGCTAAGTTATTTGCCATGACAACACTGGAATGATGTGACAGCTCCACTGTGCCCATATCAACAACTCTTTTTTCTTCAGTAACTCTTTCATGAATTTAGTATACCCCAACATCTTCAAGAGTGTGTCAACCAATGATATATTGACGAACAATTTTCAAAACAAATCCAATTTTTTTTTTTTTGAATTGATTGTCATCTTTCCTTTTTATTAACCTTTGAGGTACAGAGGTGGACACTTAGGCACATCACCCTTAGTGGTTTTGTTCTCCTCGACGTCAACTACCACAGTAGGATATTCGTCCTTCTTTTCTTCTTCCGTACTCACATTCTCATTATTCATAAAATCAGCATCCACAACAATTGGTATGGGTGTACTAAGTTTCACCCTCCATCATCCAATTTTTCATTCACAACTCTCTTGGGTAAACATTCACATTATCAAGCAACTTTTTACTTCTAGTAACTATTGTCATACAATGACCATCATTCTTAGGATTACGAAGATGCCACTAGGAAGCGAACATTTGGCCCTTGGCTTCTTTTGCACCGACAGATGGTTCATTTGAGATTCTAAATGCTTAACAAACAAAACTAGAGCACCCCGTGGAGAGATACTTAGCCGGATGAAACCCATATCCAACAATTCTTTCAATTGTTCTTTTAACTTCTTTAATTGTTCCGGAGCCATACGATAAGGAGGAATATAAATAGGTTGCGTATCTGGGAGAAGGTCAATATCAAAGTCTATGTTCCTTTCGGGAGGAACATCAAGTAAATCATCAAGAAACACTTTCAGAAACTCTTGAACGACGGGGACCGACTAAAGAGTAGGGGTTTTAGAATCCATACACCTACCCCGAAATAGACTGTATGTTCAACCCTTAGAAATCATTTGTCTAGCTTCAATTGATCGAAGCGAAATGAGAGTTCATTTTGGTCAGATTTGATACATCATTTTTGAGTTCTTTGACCCCATTGTCGGTTGACTCAAACCTCTTTAGCACACAAACTAGCATATCTTCGTCTTTGATCTCATAGGGTCACTCATTTGGTTGGTTAGGCAGAGCTTCAGCCTTTTGAGGAAGCATGTTTTGAACTTCAATGGTTGTATCTATCATGCATTCTATTAGGATCTCTAACATGACACTCCCTATTTCTATCTCTCCATTGTCCATCTCGATCTCTCCAACCTTGATTTTCTTCTCAAGGACGCCAAGAACGTTGGTAACCTAGGCAAGATAAAATTAAAACGCATATGCGGCCTCTTCCTCATGAGATGCTGCCCCATATGATCCAATGGCATTGACACTTTTGTTTTGTTGCCCATCATAAGTTTAGCCAAAAGTTTCACTTGCATCATCATCTTCGACATTTTTTCATCTCTTTCCTCGTCTTTCCTCCTCATGTCATTGGTCATGCCCATGGTTGCTAGATAGACATGGTTGGTTTTGTAAGGAAGACCAACGCCAAATCGATACTATGTACATCATCGGTTTGGCATGGGTTGGATCACGACACTAGAGGACATGGTCAGTTAAAACTAAGGGATAACCTACTCAGATTGTGAGTTTCAATAAATTAAAAGACGACAAAGAATGTATTTTTTATTTTTTTTTAAAATGACAGACCGGGTCGACTTTTAGAAATACACATAAAGAAAATATAGTTAGTTGGAATCATACCAAGATATATATTTTTACATAGAAAAATTCTACCACTAGACCACAGATGCTCTATGATGAAATATTTTCATATCTATCAAGGAGGGAAAGTTTTTACCCAATTTCTTCCACGAGAAATTTTTCCATACACATGTCACATATTCATATATACTTAGATTACACAGAAAAAGACTGTGGAACTAGAAGACAATTGTGTGAACGGATTTGCTCGTGGAAAGTGCAATCTGCGATCGTGGTCACACTTTTTGTTTCATTAAAATCTATAATTATGTATTATTATATATATTACATTCAAATTATCCTAACTATTTACTTATGTTGCTTATTTTTATATTCCAACAATATCTTCATATATAATGGACAAAATCGAACTTCTTTGGAGGATATTATATGTATTTTTCCAAACTACTATACACACACCCTCGCCCTTTACATAAAGCATAAAGTATTAAAGATGTCATCATTACTCCCCAAGAAAAGGCTTAATATCTCACCATCACGTCAATGCGCCTAAAGTTTTTTTCCCCTTTTCCAATTCATACTTCTCCAACTTGAGTTTCAATTGTTTTTATTTTTTCACTCGGTGTTCAGTATTTGTATTGGAGTCCGACTGTTCTGAATTCGTGTTGCATAGGGCTCCATTCAGGAGGAGTGTTTTCTATTAAGAATTTTCAAGGCTCGAATTCAGAACCACTGATTAAGGGAGGTATAATGTAACTAAATCTAGTGTACCAAATCCTTTGATGGTTCTAACTTGAGTTTTGATAATTTAAAACTTGAAACCAATACTATACTATGCCTTTTTATTCATTGGTGAACCTAAAAAATATGCTCATCTTTTTTTAGTTTCTGGGTCTCATATTTTGCTTCCCCCTCTATTTGTATTAATTTATATTTTTAATAATGCAAAGTGAAAAACAAGATTGATTGTGTTTTTTTAGTACCCCACTTGTTTTTTTTAAAATGGAATAGAATAATTTAATTAGTAATTGATTAAGAAATTTATCAATGATTCATATTGATCAATGGAAGAGCAAACTATTGATTCATGCACTTAATGAACTAATTTTATTTTATTTGCGTAATGGTATTTTATGGTAGTGGGTTACTAACTGATCTTGTCAAATAAATTAGAAACATCACTACCTTTATGAAGACAACATTATGATTATTTTTCTTTAATCATAATGTACATTGGCAAATGGGAGGTCTGCATAAATATACTTATTTCCTCTATATATATATTATTAAAAGAACAAAAAAAACCTTAATTATATGAAATTGAATAAAATGCTCTTAGTTATCAGTTTGGTCTAAATATCTCCTATTGTCAATAGTTTGGTCTAAATTCTCTACGGCTAATAGTTTGATCCAGAAAACATTTATTCTTACCTAATGTCATGCCCCGAGCCTACACCCTGAGCGGAACTGCACTCGAGAACCATTGTTGGTCCCAAGCGAGCCCTTGACCTGACTTAACTCTTAGTGGAAGACTTAAATAACATGAAACAGTCTCAAAAGATAAACTCATGCAATAAACTTATAATGTCTTAAAAGAAACATTCAACTGGCCAAAAAGGAAACTCATGTCTTTAAACATTTAAAGCTGAAAATGGAAAAGACTCATAGAAGATATGTGGAGGGCGTGTGTGATCAATTTCAAAGGTAATTGGGATAATCACCTACCTCACATCGAGTTCGCTTACAACAATAGTTACCACTCTAGCATCCGAATGGCTACTTATGAAGCTCTTTATGGGAGAAGATGCAGATCTCCTATTGGATGGTTTGAAGTTGGTTAATCTAGGTTGATAGGACCATATTTAGTGCATCAAGCGATGGAGAAGGTGAAAGTGATTCAAGAGAGGTTGAAAATGGCACAGAGTCGTTAGAAATCCTACACTGATGTTAGGAGAAGAGAGTTAGAGTTTGAAGTTGATGATTAAGTGTATTTAAAAGTTTCACCTATGAAGGGCATTATGAGATTTGGTAAGAAGGGGAAGCTTAGTCCCTGGTATATTGGACCTTATTGAATAGCCACGAGGATTGGCAAAGTAGCTTATGAGTTGGAGCTACCACAAGAGTTAGTAGCGGTTCATCCGGTATTTCATGTCTCCATGTTGAAAAAGTTCATGGGAGATCCTTCATTGATCATACCAACTGAAGATATTGGGATCAATGATAGCTTATCTTATGAAGAGATTCCTGTTCAGATTCTAGATTGCCAAGTTCGCAAATTGAGAACGAAGGAAGTAGCATCAGTCAAAGTCCTTTAGAGAACTAATTTGTTGATGAAGCTACTTGGGAAGCTGAGGAGGATATGAAGAAGAGATATCCACATCTATTCGAATCCGAAGAAAATGTAGACCAACGTACTAATTCTCTTCTTAGTACTCTTTAATTTATGAGTAAGCATATTGTTTGTTTGTATTTTCTTGTTGGGTGTTTGAACTGAATGATGTTACACCCATAGCCTAGTAAGAGAAATCTCATTCGAAGACAAATATTCCCCAGGGGGAGATATTGTAACATCTCGCAAGTTGAAATAACTAGGAAGAAGTAAAGAATTGGAAATAGTCATTTAAGGAAAGAATGAAATCTGGAAATTTTGTTAAGTTAGGATAAGTTGAGTTTTGGTCAACTTCAAATGGCCATATCTCCTAGCTCAGGATGAGTTAGATGAACTTTTAGATATGGATGGAAAGCTCTTGGAATAATCTTTCCAACGCCGCTGAATTTGCGCAATTCCGAGTTTGTATAAGTGAGATGTCCAATCAGGATTTTTAAAGGGTGTTTTGATCTTTTCCATACCCTATTATTTTAATTCGTTTTTTGGTGAATTAATTAAGGGTCAAAACTGAATTGGTTCAGTTTAGGCAATTGGAGATTCACGCTAGGGTTTTTGGAGAAAGAACGCAAGAGGAGAAAAGAGGATAAAGAGCAAAGTTCGTCGTTCTTGAAAGTTTAGCTTGTGGATTTCAACAAGGGTTAATCCCTAAAGAGGTATGTGAGTCTTTCATAGCGTTGGGTTCGTTCACCCACGCGTCAGGCATGTTTATTTCAGCGAAGTTGTTCTAGAAAGTTGATGAATCTTGAATGGTGTTCTTGAATTGGGTTGAATTGAGAAGTTTCTAAGATCTTTACGTCGAGTTTTAGAGTTGTTTTGAGTTAGGTTCATGGGTACATATGCTGGGTATCTGAATCTAAAGAAAAGTTGAGAAGAATAGTCGATTTTAGGTGAATTAAGACTGGAAAACTAGGGAAGGAAAAGTGGGCGAATCTGGGTAGTGGGGCCGCGTCGCGGACCTGCTTCTCAGATTTGAGAAAAATCTCTTTGCGTTGCAGAGCGGTCACGGATCGTTGTACCTCAAAGT